TACAGAATCGGTGATGGACCACACACATCATCACAACTTTCTAGATTTCCTTTTACGAACGTCTATCAACTTTCCTTTACTTTTATCATCCTCCTAGTAAGTCTATCGCTACATGACATATTTTACATTGTGCGATATACGGAAAACGACAAATGATGCCTTGTTGGTGGAGGCAGGCCCACTATCCACTATTGAAACGACAAATAATGCAGGACAAATTGGATACCGACTGAGGAGATATTGAAACATATACCCAAAAGGATTTGTTGAAATACAGCCAATTTACCAAAAAGATGTCTTGCACAAGCGAAGAAGGAGCTGCGCCGTCGGGAAAAAGCAGGATTCAAGGAAGGAAACATCAACCACCTCATGAAAGTCAAACTGAAAGTAAGCAAAAAGAAACGATACATTGAGTACCTCAGAACGGCATCCAGTGCACTTGGTGCAGATCCATGGAACCAAACCGAAGTCAAGGAGCTGCAAGCTTTTGTCAAGCAACAAGGCAGCCGAAAGAAAGATCATGGCCAAGAAACGGGGAGCAGAAATCGACGGCGAATGGACCATTGGTCCTCAAACCTACACTCTCAATGGAAATTTGGAAAATAGCCTTGGCGGATGAACGGTTGATCAATAGAATAAAATGTAATGCGGACTTCCTTCTATTATATTGCCGTTTGTTGACGACTTGACTTTGATGTCAACGTTTTTGTGTTTGACAGGTAAAATTATGTTTGCAACTACTGGTGAAACCGGACAACGGAAAGGCCCAATTGTATTTAATATATTTATTCGTAGGCGTTATAAAGGGGTATATTCCGCGCCGGGACGTCTCTTGGTAGGAAGTGAGAGCCATAGACTGTTTGGTGTCCGCCACGTGCCTCAAGTTCATTGAAGAAACGAGGATTGGGGGCTATGAGATGATTGGCCATCTCAAGTTCCTTACGGTACTCCACCGCCATTCCATCCACCTCAAGGTTCCGTTTCTCCCACCAAGAAAGTTTGTCAAAGAGATTGGACTTGTCGAGATGTCCATACACGTGCTGGGACGACCAATCCACCGAGGACCGAAGGATAGCTTCCCAAATGGATGACACCAAGTCAAACTGGGCATCAGTTGGAGACAGTGGGCGATCTTCAAAAGCTATCTCAATGGCAGAGAGACCATTGCAAGCAATCCGCACCTTGGGGCATGTCGAAAGGTTTGGGAACCATTGCTTAAGGAGCCAATCAACCGCCATTCTACCGGCCAACAGACCAACGAGTTCGCTGCAGTATGGGCTCTGATCCTGGGGCAAACCGGGGGTCTGACACCGGATGATGATTCGATGGCACCCTCCATGCTTCACCAAGAGTTGAACCGCCGCGGTCCCTAACTCGTTCTTGAAGGATCCATCGCTGATCACGCGCAGGCGACCTTCCAACAGAGCATCAGCTAAGGTGGCTTCCGCACCTTGAATCTGGAACCCACCCGTAATAGTCCTGCAAAGCTCGGCAGCCGTCTGCCATGCTTGAAGGATGGATGGGCTGTTGGGAGGGGGCGGTTCAGAGGCACGGCCAGTACCTCTGAGAAGAACACTGTCAGATCCCGTGATGGGGCGAACCGTAGCGCGAAGAACATCAGAGGGAAGCGGTGCGGTCCACCATGCGCAGGAAGGATGTGAAGGCGCTGGTGCTTGGCGACGTGACGTGGTGGAGGAGCCCTCAGGAGAAAAATGTTTCCAGGTTGCCCCATGGCGGTGGAAAAAACCTGTAGTGGGTGACAGCAACCAATTCCAGTCCTCCAGAGGATCAGTCCAGGGCCCTAAAGGCTGTTGTAGTGGGTGATGTGGCCCGTTGGAGGCAAGCAGGGCTCTAGACAAGGTGGTCTGCCACAGGTCCCAGTGTTGGCGGGTTGGGCAAACGGTCCTTGGCCATTGGTATGGCAAGTGGCAGCACTCATCCCTGGGCCCATTCCACGCGGAACGACGAATAAACCTGCCATCAGCAGTCACAATGTCAGACACTGTGCATACCTGGAGGAACATTCGACACCAATTGAGCCATAAAAGTTCCTCTTGTTCAACCTCCAAGTTGATGAAGAGATCCATCAGAAGAGAGTCGTCCGTACAGCGATGGGAGAGAGCAGGAGAGTCACAGGCGACATAGATGTCCAGACCCTCGAGTTCATGCCATACTCGTTTCATCCACGTGTCTGAAGCTAAGATTGCCGTGTTGGTGTAGACTTGTTGCAAGAGTCCAAAGGATGTCCCCGTTTCAAGTTGATGGGCTTGGAAGTTGGCCTCCATATAGTCACCAGTTTTGGTCCTGTTGGCCATCTGTCAGAGCAACATCTCAAGAGGCTTAAACACTTGACAACCAACGGATGTGGAAGTCCAAGACCCTGATAGGGCAGCGGAGCGAATACGACATCCCAAGGGAAATTACGACAGACACCCGCCTTTGGAAGGCACACTTGAAATACCGGAGACATAATGTCTGTCCATTGCTGGGCGTCCAGGGTGGTTAGCGCCATAGGATACTCCAATTTCTTCATGATGGTCGACCTGATGAGGGGGAGGACGTCATGTTTGTGAAGAAGGTTGGGTCGAAGCTGTTCTTCCCAATCCTTGGCTTTAGCAATCATCTGAACCTCGTGAGCCTTAAGGTTTTCCAAAGGAGCAAGCATAACTCCCAAAGTGCGTTCCAAGTCATCTGGTTCAAGACGACGCAGAGATTCAGTAGCACCTGATAGACCTTGAATTGGGAGTTCAAAGTCGGGGGCAACTGCTTTTTTCCCACAAAATTTCCATTTGCCTGTGCGGGAGTCCCAATCAAAATCGATGAGCCACCAAAAGGACTTCTTGGGGTTGATTGCACCTCCAGTAGCTCGGATTCCGATGCACATATAGATTCACCCAAGTGATGGACTGTATTGCCAGCCTCAATGACGTCGGTGTCGTCAACAAAGCAAAAGCATTGGGCTGTGACCAACTGTGACTCCAGTGCTGAGAGGCACTCAAAGCCGTAACCCATTGCTTCCATCATGGTTATGAGAACGGAGCTCACAGAGATCCATATGGGAGGTCCTGCTCCATTGCTCTGGCCACATCCTTGAAAGGGGATAGCAGAAGGCGGCTGGAAGCTACGATCGGAATCGCCAAAGCCTGTCCGCACCTGATTTGTTGCTGACGAGAGCATGTTGAACATGGAGGATAAGACTCTCCATGTCAGCCCAAACCGGAGCATCGCAATGATTGCCACCCAATGAATCACACGATCAAAGCAGGATTTGGCATCATTCGAGATCCACCCTGCCGCGCGTCATTGGAGAATCAACAGGTCCCAGACCAGACGTTTGGACAGGGCCAGATCGATAGCCTGATGGCGTTTCCGAGAACCACACTGACCGTCCGGAATCAAGGAGTGTTCCTCGGCATATCGCATGGCCGCGGGAACCGCTTTTTTGTTGTTCGCCTGTGCCTCCGAATTCATTAACTGAATAGTGCGCATTTTCGACAGCCGGAAGTCGCCTGCCTTTTTCTCAATTGCAAAATTCATCAAGTTCTGCCAATTCGAGGGGACGAATCCCGTTGCCAAAGGAATATTGCAAAAAAGGGCATTGCAATAGGCAATAACTGGTGAGTGGGCCGCTGCCTTGAAGTGTCCGTTGTGCAACCCATGAGGTTCAGAACCCTTGTCCTCTGGGTTCCGAGACCAGAAGTACATGTGATCAGAAGTCGTAACCTCAAGGTGTACGGGTAAGTGATCCTTGTGAAATTGGCAATGGGAAAGAAAGGCCGTAGTGGCCGGGTCGAGAAGGTCGGGCAGAGAGTAGCGGCCTTCCAATAGGGCAATGGAAGATTCAGCCTCAGCGCCGGTGAATGCTGTATACAAGGGTTCCGCCATAGGTGGAGTCGTATATGGAGCACGCGTCTGGTCGTACCGTGCCACATTTTCTTGCATATACCCTTCTTCAACCAGAGCACGATCAGTGATAGTACGCAGCCGCGTAGTGCCATCTGGTAACTTTTCTTCAATCTGAATAGCCCGTAAACCCCCGGTAGATCCCTTTTGTTGGGCGCGACGACGGCGTCTCGCCTCCTCTCGTTGCTTCATTCGTCGTAACCAAAGGAATCTATCGTGGGCCTTCTGAGATTTCCATTTCTTCTTCTTTGCATCCTTTGTCTGAGCCGTAAGAAAGTCCCGTCTCAATTGGGTTGCCTGATGTTTGGCTTGCTTATAAGCCCGGCGTTCAGCTGACAAGGCTTCGTCCAATTCATCTGTTGTCTTCTTCCACGCGTCGCGCAGCCTTGTCTCCTTCATCAGGCGCCGGACCTTTCGTGAGCTCACACGGCATCGCTTGCGGCCTTTAAGGAGTAGCTTCCAGAGACTCAATCGATCCCAGAAGCCCTGCAATTTTGGAGACCAAGGAACCTTGCCAGATGAGGTAGTGCGACAATTGCCTTCAGCAAGCCGCCGTACCATATACATCTGCCGGTGAAGGCAGTTATATTTGCGTGCCAGCGGGAGTGACATCTGTCGCCTGTCGCTCATTGGATTCAATGCGCTGATTTAGCTTGGTAAGACGGGAAGGGATGTCATACTCCTCGTAACCCAGGTGGACCAGTTGAAGACAGCGTCTGACCGACCGCTTATCCAAAAGGGTTAGTTTGCGAGGTTGGAAGGTAGACTCTTGGGGTTTGAAATTGCCCAAAGCTGTGTTCAGTCGATATCGATCCATAGAGCCCGGTGGTCTGCCTCAACAAATTCGCCAAATGCGTAGTAGCCACCAGCAAGAACCGGAACACCCGAAGTGGTAAAGATCCCATCAATGGGAACGTTGCTTTGATTGCGTTGGTGAGTCGCCGTTGGGGGATGCCTTTTCAAAATCGCTTCCTCCATTCCGCAGTCCCGGAACCGCTGTCGTATGCAGTCCGGGGAGTTAACCGAAAGGTCTTTGTTAGCATCGATCCCCAGCAAAACTTTGCAACCCTCGTCCCTCCACTTTTGAATTTGTTTGCACAAGTCATCGACAAATGCTTTGCGCGGATTAACCTTACGTTTTATAGAGTTAAAGTAGAGACGTTGTTGGGCCCACACGGTCGATTCCCCAGTACCTTCTCTGTTTGGCCTATATACCGAGACAACCACTAGATCATGTGAAATCGGCCGTCGGACCGCCTCATTTACGTCGATCACCAAGCCGGAGTGATCATCGCCCCCCCGCGCCTTCAGCTTCTTCCCTTGAAGACGAACATAAGCCCAACGTCCCAGCCCCGTCAAATCGCTCCCTGCTTCTTTAGCTCGGTGCGAGACCTGACTAAGCACTGTCGCGATGCATCCTCCCCATTGAAAGGCTGTAGTTGCCGAAGATCGTGACTGCTGTTTATTATAAGCGACAGCCGAATAAAAACCTTTGTGCTTTGCCTTCATCGTAGCTCGACGCATCCTATCGTTCCACCCATGACCCCCCTCTGGGATAGAGGGCCAAAACGTTTTGGCCTCCGCCAACAACGCTATTCCCACTCGCTCATCTTGCAGCCAGGAGTTGATCTGCCGCTGTTTCACATGGTCACCTTCCTCCAGGACACCGTGAACGTTCTGGAAGGTGACGCGAGTAGCTAGTGCAGAACGACAGCGATGGTCATCGCCAAGGCAGTCTCCTGGTGGAAGAGAACGTAAATATTCGTCAAGTGAAGCGTGGGAAACAACACTTGACGGGCCACTAATTTGAGATCTTCTGCCTGCACGCCGTGACCACAGCAAACGATAGTTGATGGGGAGAGATACTTGCAACAAGTTGGACGAATGGACGATGATGCACAATTCACAGACGTACCTGTGAGCACATCCTTTGTATCCACTGAAAGCCATACCAAAGCAACGGCAGAGAAGCTATCTGAACGACTGGGAATCGGTTTGCACAGGGCACGAACCACCTTGAGATCGACGCTACAAAGAGGAACGCGATCGGCCATAGTACCACTAGCAAGGAGATACCGAGCAGACCGCATGTTCTTAAGACCAGGACTGAAAGGCAAGTTCTCAACCGACACGGCCTATTTCAATCACAAGCGATACAAGGCAACATCGCAAGCCAGATCTATTTCCACAAGAGCGGTTTCTACAGTTGCCACCATCTCTCAAAAGTGGACGACAAACAAGTTGGACCGACTCTGAAGAAATTCATAGCTGACTACGGTATACCAGAGCAATCACGATGGACGGCGCAGCGGTCCAAGTGCGACGCAACACAAGCTTTATGGAAACGATCAACAGAGCCGCGATTAACTACCACATCTCCAGACCATACCAACCGGAAGAAAACCCAGCCGAAGGGGGAATCAGAGAGCTCAAACTACGATTCTACAGATTGATAGTCAAGCATGCGATACCACAACGGCTATGGGACTTTGTGCTTGATTATATCGTCGATACCATGAACATCACCGCCAACTACTCGAGATATTCTGACGGACGAGTGCCGCTTGAAGTGATCACTGGCATCACGCCGGACATTACAGAATACATGGACTTTACAATCTATGGATGGGTATACTACCGCACAGACGGCGCCCTGGGGACGAACGAAATAGGACGATGGTTGGGAGTGTCACACAGGACGGGTCCAATGATGACGTATTGGATATTGCCGAAGAGTGGCCGCCCAATCTTGACTGACACTGTCCAGAACATCACAGAGACCGAGAGACAGACTGACGTGGTCAAAGAACAAATGGCGCAATGGACAACTGATGCATCCAAGATCCTTGATGCGAAGACAGGAGACATCAGTTGGGGGAAAGATGAGATACCGCCACAATTGATGTTTGATCTCGGATTGGAAGACGCAGAATTCAAATGCAACTTCAACAAGTTGATTAAGGCCGAAGATGTTGACGATGGCACGCTCCAGGGGACCACAGAAACTGACGACATCGACGCACAGAACTACGTCAACATGGAAATTGGCCTAAGACGGGGACAAGAAGGGGAGTTGCAACGTGCAGTTGTACACAGGAGACTCGTGGATGCAGAAGGAAATCCAACTGGCGTAGCGAACAACAACCAGTTGCTCAACACGAGACAATACAAAGTTGAATACGAAGATGGAAGCACCAAAGTGCTCGCTGCGAACTTGCTAGCAGAGAACTTATTAGCACAAGTGGACGACCATGGACACAGACACTTGCTAATGGAGGAGATCACGGAACATCGTTCTGATGAGAAGGCAGTAAAGAAGAAAGATGGTTTCTATTCCCTCGCAAGTGGAACGCAACAAAGACGACACACGACAGCAGGATGGGACTTCTACGTTACTTGGAAAGATGGTTCCTCGAATTGGATACCTTTGAAAGATATGAAGGAGTCTTTCCCGATTGAAGTGACCGATTACGCAATAAGCAAGGGCATCCAAGACAAATCAGCTTTCGCATGGTGGATCCCACACGTTGTACGAAAGCGAAAGCGATTCCTTGGCAAAGTAAAATTGAAGTACTGGGAACGTACGCACAAGTATGGAATACGTATCCCAAAATCGATCAAAGAAGCCATCAAAATCGACAAAGCGAATGATGACACTTTATGGCAACACTCGATTCAAATGGAGATGAAGAACAATCGAGTCGCCTTTGAGGAATTTGATGGAGACGTAGCTGATGGGATATAAAAAGATCACGGGACACCTGGTATTCGATGTGAAACTAGGAGAAACTTCTGAAGGAAAGCGTGGTACTGCGCTGATGGACACAAGACTGAAGCACCCGCAGCATTGACCTATAGTACGGTAGTGTCCCGTGATTCAGTTTGGATACCACTCACGATAGCAGCGCTAAACGGATTAGTAGACTTGCAATGCGCGGATATTCAAAACGCATTCCTCACTGCACCAGCGATCAAAAAGTGCTACCTGGTAGCAGGACCCGAGTTCAGTGAAGAAGAAGGCAAAGTATTCATTGTAAGAAGAGCATTATATGGCTTAAAAAGTTCATCCGCAGCATTCAGATCCCATCTGGCGGAGACTTTAGAAGATTGGGGCTTCAGCTCGTCAACTGCCTACCCAGACGTTTGGATGCGAGCAGCAGTGAAACCTGACGGCAAGGAATACTATGAATACATCCTTTGCTACGTCGACGACATCCTCTGTATGTCAATGAAAGCCAAAGAAGTGATGGAAGGGATTGGAAGGGTGTTCAAATTCAAGAAAGGGAAGATTGAACCTCCAGAAAGCTACTTGGGAGCTACGTTACGAAAGAAGACTTTGGACGGACACAACATTTGGACAATGTCAAGTTATGACTACGTCGTGGCAGCTGTCAAAAACGTCAAGGAAACGTTAAAGGACAGTCCAAAATGGAAAATACCCAAGAATGCACCAATGCCGATGACCAGTGCCTATGAACCGGAGATGGATGGATCAAACTAATTAGGACAAGAAGACCATACCTACTTCCAAGAGTTGATTGGGATATTACGATGGGCGACAGAGATTGGACGAGTTGAAAGCTTACTGGAAGTCTCACTCCTGAGCCAGTATCAAGCAGCTCCAAGGGAAGGACACATGGAACAAGCATTGGGGATATTTGCATTCTTGGATACCTTTCCAAAATCGACTCTGTACTATGATTGGAGGACGCCAAATGTGGACTATTCCAAGTTGAGATCCTCCAGAGAGGATTTCAAGGCATACTATCGAGAGGCGACGGAAGAGATGCCACATAACACACCCAAACCAAGGGGACAAAGTGTAGGAAGTACTGCATGAGTAGATGCTTCACATGGTGCCAACAAGAAAACGCGGAAATCACATACAGGGTACATAATTTTCCTCAATAGGTTCTTCCTTGTCATCGCCTTCATCAGCCGAATCGTCGTCATCTGATTTATAGTCATCATCCCCTTGGAATCTGACAATGAGGTCTGGCATATCATCGACATCATTGTCTGCATCTGCCAAGAGCTCATTTCTTTTGGACTCATCAATATCATCGAATTGTCCATGTAGATTAAAATCACGTTCATCTTCATCTTCAGGTTCATAGTCCTGATCAAAGGCTTCCTCTAAGTAACCTTGTTCGGTGTCATCCACTCCTGCGATTTGATCGCCACCTTGAAATGTCTCCAAATCTCTCTTCTTATCAAAGAACTTCATGGAAGTAACACCTCCAGCAGCAGCCCAGGCTTCAACACGCTGGATTGCTTGGCCGGTAACGGGTAGTACGATAACCTTGGGTCGAGAAATCATCTTCTTAGTTAGTATTGAGGTTGAGCACTCGGTGCCCAGTACGTTGTCCCTTTGTAGGTTCAATGTAGATCGCTTCGATACTTCGGGGTTCCATCAAATTGTTGGAATCCATCTGTTGGCTAAAACAACCAGTCTGGTCCTCAAAAATGTGACAAACTGGTTCTGACCCAGCTACCGGTATATCCTATCTATTTGTAACGCCTGAAGACCACTTTTAATCCATATAAACCTGGATTTTTCCACAAGTACTTTGTTAGTCCCAACAGTACTTCATTAGTTCTTACACGCGCGCGTGAATTCCCAACACCGTCCCAATTGCATGAACATACTGTCCAAGCTCAGCAACCATGTCACTATTTTAGTTGATATTGACATTATCAATGAGTTGCTGCGGACTGAAATGTGAGGAAATACTGTCTTTTGGGGGAAAGACATTCAAGACATTCTGTGATCACCTTTGGTACCACTTTGTAGGGTAATCATTCAAGAGCTACTCTAACTCTTTCTTTCAGCGTCCGATTGTTTTGCTCAGCTGTAGGCTCGTGGTCTCCAGCTGCAGTCGGGTCAATAGTAACACCCATATCATCTAGCATATCATCCATTAGAGGGATGAATGCCCGATCACACTTGATCGTCTTGACATGAAAGCCTGCATTATTGTAACGGCAGGATATTTTATCCAATGCTTCAAATACTACAGGTTCAGTCTTCAGGTTCTGCATGGGAATACATGAGCAATAACGCACAGTGGTGTCAATGCAGGTGAGAAACTTAGCATCTCCGATCTCCATGTGATCAATACAGACGGTAATTGTTCGATTATGTTGATACAATTCCTCTGGTGGACTGAAGAAGTCATCATGTGTCTTCTTTGGAGTTGGTCTTGTTGACTTGCCTTTCAAAGTAGATGCGTCAGGTCCAAAGATTGCTTTGGCATAATTGATCGCTTCTTCAGTGATAGGACAGTTCTTGATGAGACCAGATTGGATCACATACTTCAGACTTTTGGTGCTTGGAGCATTGAGTATGTGCATCGCACTCCTCGCTTCCATCGCAGCCTTGACTTGTCTTGGAGTGAATCCTTCCTTGTTCTTTCGAACTGTTGCCATCTTCGCAGTCATCCCGAGTCCAGCATATCCATTCTGTTTTGAAGAAAGTTCGAAATGGG